AAACGTAAGAATACGATTGACAGTGCATTAATACGTTGTGTCCAAGAGCTATGCAGACATTATCTCCCGTAAATGTTGTGGAACAATGTATGAAGGCAGTACTTCCCATTTGTCCGTAGAGTACTATTTCATTCTACTTTATTGAAGCGGTAGCGTCAAAGAGTTCGTTTCGCAGAAATTCGGGCTTCGGCGTCGGCGTGTTCGATGTTGGTTGTGAGCGAAAAAAACATAGTCTAGTCGATGACCGAAAAATCTAGTTAGATGCAAATATAATGAGTAATACAACTTTTCAGGCCCGAGATAGGATCGAACCCAGGCTGTCTGCGTCGCAAGAAGGTGTTCTACCATCGAGTCATAATACACATTGAAACAGATGTGAAAAAAAAAACAACATATGAATATCGTCGAGCAGAAAGGGTCTCCTTAATGCGTCATATTCTCACGGGGAAAGAGCAGGAAGAGGGGAGAAATATATTTACAGATTGTACACACAGTACACAGTGTCCTTGAACCAAGATGGCGAAGTGTTTTTGTTTTGTTTTGTTTCCCTGGGAGGTTGGCTCATACCCACTCAGGGGGATTGGCCAAGAAAGTGTAGTGCAGTTTTTCTGTGATCATTTTAACTATGTGTAAGAAATGGGAATTATAATAAGACTAATGTAAATATAAAAACAACATAAAAAGAGCAAACGAAAAAAAAATCAAGTTGAGCAATTTTGAGATTTGAGGTGTTATGATTACCACTCAGCTGCGTTTACTTCACTCTGCCCTGGGGAGTAATAAATAATTTTTTTGATTGAAGATCACAAAGGTATACGCTTGGTTGCCTGAATATAATCGCAAACGGCATTGAAAGCATCCCTGTGGCAATGTCCCAAAGCTGAGGCGCCAAAGCTTAGCGCCGTTTCCGCCGTCAATCTAAGGCCTATTTTCCGAAATGGCATAACTAGTAACCTTTTTCTAAGTATCTCGTAGCGGCGACAATACAAAAAATAATGATCTAGTGATTCCATTTCTCCGCAGAATGCGCAGAGGGGTGATGTTGTCTGACCAGCTCTGTGTAGATACAGGTTTAGGGGGGGGGGGGGGACACGACATCGAAATTTAGTAATTAAGACTTCGAGCTTTCTGGACTGACTCCAGTGGTGTTGCCATGGAAACATGAGGTGGTTATAGTCTGTCCATGTAGTTACTTTTTCTATCGTATCAGTGGAGATAGCTGATTTACGATATCTTATAGCCGTGATATATTCAACATCTGGCAGTATGGACAAAACTGGCCCATCAAGTGCGGCTCGTGCTAAGGAATCGGCCAATTCATTTAATCTCAATCCAGTGTCCCGGAACCCATAGTAATCTCAGGAGTCTCAACTGCGGGGGTACTAATGTTTTGAATGTGCTTAGAATTCGAGAGTTCTCTGAAGCTGTCAGAGCTGCACAAACTGAAAGAGAATCCGTCATTATTACTGCGTTGTTTTGATTTAATGGAAGTTTTCGAAGAGCTAAAATAATCGCCAAGAGCTCCGCTTCAAAAACTGGAGTAAAATCAGGCAGTCTCACTGAAAAGGACCAGTCAAGCAAATCAGAGGCAATGCCTACACCTGCCTTTTGATTATTTACGGAAGCATCTGTGGCTATTATATTTTTAGTTTCTGCATGCTCCAAGTAATCTAATAATATGTTATTTAAAAATTTGAGGGATTGTAATTTGGCGTTTTGGGGGAATATATCATCATACTCAATAATAACATGACAATTCGAGTCATTAGTCTCAATTACATTTCTAATGTTCACATTTATACTTTGTAGATTTTTTTGTACAAACATTATCTGAGGTGTGTGAAACCGTGGCCAATGTGCAAGAAAGAAGGCGTCTGGGTTTGCGATAAAAGCATATTGAGATCTTCTTGCCGGTAAGCTATAAAATTTTAAAAATGCTTGTACGGTCAAAATTCGAAATCGACAAAGTAGTGTAGGCAGGCGCGCTTCCTGGTACAGTACGTTGATAGCCACAAATCTAGGGAGTCCCAGACACATTCGCAGTGCTTCTCGCTCCAAGACAACTAGAGGTTTCGTTTTATAGGCAGGGCCACCCGAGAATAATATGCAGCCGAATTCCATGATGGGGCGCATGTACATCTTGTACAACGTTATCAAGGTGTGCCTCCGTAACCCATATTTCCGGTTACTTAGCTTGTGTAGTAAGCCTGAAGCCCGCTGTGCTTTGGTAGTTATATACTCTATATGAGGACTCCAGTTAAGTTTGTCATTATAAATGATTCCCAAATATTTTATAGAGTCTACTTGCTGGATGGGTTCCTGTTTATATAGAATTGAAATTGAAATTGGTTCTGCAAGCGGAAACGCCATGAGCGCGCTTTTGTTGACATTTAACGATAACGAAATCGACTGCAACCAAATTTCTAACATGTTAATATATCTTTGTAATTTAAGTTGCAATGAGTAAATACCACAGTCAGCAGCAAAGAATGCGATGTCATCAGCATAAATGTAGACAGTAACTTCTTGATCTGTTGGAATTGTGCTCATTAAAGCATTAAATAATATTGGAGATAAGACTGCTCCTTGGGGAACTCCGCGCGTTTGTTTAAATCTAGATGAGGAACATCCATCCTTGACGCAGTAGAATTCTCTTGATTTTAAGAATTCTGCCACCCACTCAATAAAATATTGTGGGAAGTTCAATCTCTCTAGCGTATTTAACAATATGAAATGCTCCACACTGTCATACGCCTTGGCTATGTCAAGCGTTACTAAAGCAGCGTATTGCCTTCTTTTACGCGCGAGCTGTATTCGGCTCTCTAAATCAGCATGGGCACACCAAATTGAGAAATCACTACGAAAGCCGATTTGGTTCGGCTTTATTACTAAATTGTCTGCCATCCAGATACTTACTCGGCTATGTAGGACCCTCTCTACTAGTTTGACCATGTCAGATGTTAGAGAGATTGGTCTGATATTATCGACTGTTAATCCTCCACCCAGATTTTTTAGTATAGGAATCACCTTTGCTATCCTCCAATCCTGCGGCACCCATGAGTTTTTTAAGGAGTAGTTAATAACATTGGCGACGTCTCGAGGCGATAAATTGAACAGAATTTTAATCATGGGTACTGTGATTCCATCTGGGCCAGGAGATGCACAGGGTAAATGTTTAATCACGTTGGATACTTCAGTCTGTGTCACTTCTTCAAAGTCAGACTTTGTCGTCGACTTGTGCCAGTTGTTTGGCACTACTGAAGTGAATCTGCTTTCCAGACCTTTACCGATTGCCTCTAAGGTAGTAGTCATTTCTTGTGCCGACAGATTATCACAAGCTACATTAACTGGTGATGGCAAGATTTTCCGAGCTCTCATATATCGGAACAGTGCTTTCATATGTTTAGGCTTCGACAGGTATTCATAATGTCTTCTGTCATACTCTTGTTTAGCTTGAGCTACCGTTCTTTTAAAGCCCGCAACAATGAATTTATAATCGGCCCAGTTTTGTGGGCATTGATTATGTAAGAGCTGCTTCCAAGCTGCCTGACGTCGTCGGTGCTCTCTTGTACAGTCATCATTCCACCAACGGCTATATACTCATTTTGTGTATTCAATAGTAAATTCGGCTCTTTTGTAGGATCGTTTAGTGACTGCGTTTATTTTCAGTGCTTTTTTATCATCGCTCTCTTCCGAGTGAACAGCCAGTGCTGACTTCAGGTCATTCCTAAATTTAGTGTAATTTACAAATACTCTTACATTTGAACAAGATGGAATTATCGGACAAGAAATTTCAAAACTTATCGGTAAGTGGTCACTGTTGGTGCCACAGTCCAGCGCTTTCCAAGAAGAAGTAGTAATGGCTGAACTGACAAAACTTAAATCTAAGGCCGACCTGGAGTGATTACGAATAATGGCGAAGTGGTAACAACAACACGAGCTTTTGTTCAATCGTCATCTTCGTCGCCTTTATGGTGCATTCGTTGATGTTAATGATGACTTGTACCAATATATTGCGTGGCAGTAGCGTATAATTCTGCCAGGATGGGAAAGATGTTAATTAGGCGTGTGTCATAAAGGCCCACTAATTTCAACGAAGTCAGACACATTTAGTCATAATCAGCAACAGGACCATCAATAAGGTGTACAGCTGCGTAGGCGTGCGTGGCACCTTACAAACGCGTTGTGGGCCCATCGCTGAATCAAACATTTACAAAAATATGACATAGTGGGCACTTAAAAACTGTGATTGCAATAGGCATGCAAGAGCAGTTATTAAGTGCCCACTATGTCATAATATTTCTTTTGCGATTCAGCGTTGGGCCCACAGCGCGTCTGTAAGGCGCCACGCAGGACCTATAGGCAGCTATACACCTTATAGGTGGTTCTGCTGCTGATTATGATTAAATGTGTATACTTTTGAAAGGCCACTTTTACGCTCACAGTCATTCGTTTCCTCGCGGAATAGTTCGGGCATGCATTGGGAGCCGAAGCAGGTTAGCAGTTTAAAAGACTCCGTGCACGAGTCCTTACGTTATGGTGACCCTCTCTTGAAGCGAAGACCAAGCGTCCTCCATTTTTATTTTACCCTAAGGGTAACATCACAGAAAGGAGGGGCTATAGCATATGAGTATACATATATTATGCACAAAATCCATGTCAGCCTAACAATAATTACACAATACCGGGGCAATACATAAACAATATTCACATAAGTAGAACAATGTCAAAGTAACCATTTCGTGCAGCTAGCGGAAATACAAAAATATTACCGAATGACTGGCTTTAACATACACTTGCCTTAACCAAAAGTAACAAAATTGTGTTACTTTTGAGAACATGAATTTTTCGTTGCTGTTTGAAAGGAGTAGCATGAATCATTACTGAAGAGAGACATGGCTCATGTTATTCAATTCCCTAGAAGAGAGACAGAAGAGAATATTTCCTGCGATAGCTATAGCAAACGTACAGTTGTCTTGATATGGTTAAACTGGTCTTACCAATAGAGAAGGGAATCAGGTGCTCTGGTTTTGGCTGAATGAGAGAGCCGTCTTCTTTGAAGAATCTCGTCGGGTCAAACTTGGACGGCTCCTTCCACAGCGTCGGGTCGTTGTGCACAGGCCCACACATTTGGAATCACGGTCGTTCCTTTGGGAATAAAGTACTCGTCGAACGTGGTGTCCTCGCCGCAACTGGAAATTCAGGTTAAAAGAATGTTCACGAGTATACGGTCACGGTCTGTGGCGAGCAGGAAAACGTGTTATAGCGTTACCATGGGCCATATAAGCCTACCCAAGAACACCCCAATCTGTGGCAGGTTTTGGGACTTTCAGCTCAAAGTGGCATATAGATAATTATATAATAGATCTAGTTCAATGGCTCAAAACCACAAAATGATGACGGACACCGTAGTAGAGGGTTCCGAAAACTCCGACTCTTTTTTTCTATAGCGTGCACATAAATGTAGGCACACGGGCTTCTATAGTATTTAACCTCCATTGGAAGGCGCCTCCTCTCATGACTACAGCAATTAACCCTTGCCCCTCTGTCCCCAGCGGCTGCGAAGCAACTGTCCAAGGCGGTGGTCAGACCTTTGACGCGGCGGAGGGTGGTAAGAATCTCTGGGTCCGGACAGGCCACCACCAATGGAAGTCGGAACTTGGGTACGTTCAACGCTAGAACGTTATCTAGTGAGGCTAGTCTAGCTGTGCTATCGAGGAATTAGAGGGTGTAAATGGGATGTAAGTAGCACTCATGCGAAGTTAGGAAGACATGCGAGGCATACACAGTGCTGAAAAACGGAAATGTCGTGTGCTACCTTGGATTAGTTGACAGAAAAGAACAGGGGTGGGATTTCTTATACAGAAGAATATCACTGGCAACATGCATGAATACTATAGCATCAGTGAGAGGGTCGCAAGTATCATATTTAGGTGTAAGAGAAGTTACAAGACGAAGGTGGTACAGGACTACGCGCCTACATCGAGCCACGATGATTATAATGGCTGATTCTATGTCTTCATAAAAGCTTTTAACCAAATGAAGTCAAGTCACAGTATACTATTCTGATGAACGACTTTATGGAGGCGGAAATGTTGTAGGCCCGTGTGCTCAGATTTGGGTGCACGTTAAAGAACCCCTGGTGGTCGAAATCTCCGGAGCCCTCCACTACGGCGTCTCTCATAATCAAATGGTGGTTTTGGGACATTAAAACCACATATCAATCAACCAACCAATCAATCAATCAATCAATCAAACTATCAATCAATCAATCAATCAATCAATCTGATGAACGACTTTAATGTCAAAGTAGACAAGAAACATGGTGGAGACCATGCAGGGAAGAATATAGCTTTTAAACAAGGAACAGTAAGTTGATTGGCCTCTAATATTTAAAATTATGTTATTTCTTCAAAGATTCTGGTACCCACCCGTCCAAAGACACTTTGTATATAGGGTGGCCGATTTTTTTTTGTTAAACACAATCTCTCCACCATTTAACCGGTATGATGTTAACTTATGCTCAGCAGCTGCTTTGCCTCTTTACAATTTCTCTATAGGTGCTGCGTTCCCTTATAGAAGCCATCCGAGCGATATTAGTCGACATGAAGACACCATCTGCTCGAAGCGCACTTGGACTATTGGACGCCCTAAGCCCAGTGCTTGAATCTCTCAACTAGGAAGATGGCTACTCACACCTCAACATTTCTTAAAGAAGTCAAGGCTGCATCCGTCATCCAATGGAACGCCAGAGGACTAAAATCACGCCTTTCAGATTTTCGTCAGTTTGTGTTTACCAACGTGTTTCTAATTATCGTCATTTGCGAACCCAATTTGTCGAAACCTATAAGACTATCGGGGTACGAAGCTGTCATGTCTTCAACGAACGGTGCGTGCAGCAAAATCATCGTCTTTGTTCGTCGTGAACTGACGTATGTTGTGCAACCAATTGCACCTCACGATGACAATCAGTATGTCTGCATCACTGTGAAAAAGAACCAACTCATGTTTACTTTCATAGGCGTTTATATATCACCGTCAAGTAATCTCGATTCCAGGAGATTAGCGGATATTTTGAGAGTGTGTCCTGCACCATGGGTCCTCATAGGTGATTTCAATGCGCACAATCACGCATGGGGAAGTACGCGGACAAATGCAAGAGGACGCAGGTTGGCAAACATCGCCTACAACTATGGCCTTACTCTCCTGAACGACGGCAGCCCCACTTTTCTTCGAGGGGTGGCATACGGCAGCTGTCTCGACCTTGCTTTTGTCTCCAACTCCCTCGCGAGATACGTCAAGTGGTTTCCAGATGTTGAGACACGAGGAAGTGATCACATTCCAAACTACCTTAACATCAAAGGCTTGTCTAGTTATGGTCCACGGACGACCATTCGAGCAGTCCAATTGACCAACTTCAAATCTGACATGGAAGATGCTTGCAGCGATGGCCTACGGTCTGGGTTGGAGGAAACAATTAAGAGCACAATGCAAAACGCCACTCGCACGGTGACGATATCTTCCACACGAAACGACTTTGATATAGAGTTGGAGCGACTCCGAGCACCGCGACGCCGGGCGGAGCGTCGGTATCGGCGTACAAAATCAATTCACGATCTTAGGGCAGCCAGGAGGATGCAAAAGAAGATTCAGCGTCACATGGATAGATTAGCGTCGGAACGATGGACAACGTTTTGCCAGTCACTAGACCCTCGCAAGCCACTCTCACACATTTGGAAAACGGTGCAAGGTCTGCGTCACCCTACGGAACAGCGCTTTCCATTCAAAGCGCTCGCGCTATTTCAAAGCAGGCCAGACATCGATGTCGCAGAAGATTTCTGTGCGCAGATCGCCAACCAAGCCACTCGTCCAGATTCTCCAGTGAGAGGTGACGTCCCCCGTTCCCGTGACTACCACATGGACCTCCTTTTTACAATGGAGGAGCTCGAGGTGGCACTAGCTCTCTGCAGGCGTTCAACTTCTCCGGGCCCAGATGGTATTCCGTACCGAGCCTTGTGCAACCTTGGGGAAGGTGCAAGGAGAGAACTGTTGAGCCTCTACAACATCTCGTAGCAGGATGGCAATGTTCCTGATGACTGGAAAGTAAGCCGCTTGTTACCCATCTTGAAGCAGGGCAAATCCCCACTCGAACTAACCTCATACCGCCCAATAGCACTGGCCAGCTGCGTAGGGAAGATAATGGAACGGATGATACTAGGCCGCCTGGAGTGGTATCTTGAACACTACAAGATTTATCCGAATTCAATGGCTGGTTTTCGACGCGACCGCTCTTCTATTGACAATGTCGTTGATCTAGTTTCGTACGTTCAGCACGAAAGATCCCGTAAGCGACTATCTGCAGCTTTGTTTCTAGATGTGAAAGGCGCTTATGATAATGTACTACATGAAGCCATTTTGGGTTCTCTTGCGGTGGTTGGCCTTGGTGGTCGAGTCTTTCGGTGGATTTCGAGTTACCTGGCTGCAAGATCATTCTTTGTGTTAACAGAAGATGGCCCAACTACGCGACGCTATACTTCCAGGGGTGTTCCTCAAGGCAGAGTTCTTAGCCCGACGCTATTCAATCTTGCACTAATTGGCGTTGCTGAATACTTGCCAAGCACCATTAAAATATCAATTACGCAGACGACATCTGTGTCTGGACATCGGCAGTCACACGTCCTCAGATACGTTCCCGGCTTCAAAAAGCAGCAACTATGATTGCCAACTACTTGTTCAAACAAGGTCTCAGCATATCACCAGAAAAATGCGCGCTGGTGGCTTTCACTCGCAAAGCAATGACCCCTTATGTCATCTCAATCTGCGGGCGACCGTTTTCTTACGCCAAAACCCACCGGTTTCTGGGCATCATTATTGATAGGGACCTCTGTTGGAGTCCGCATGGGACCTATATGAAGAAGCGCCTGACCGCTGTTTCTCAACTGTTCAAGTTCCTGGCAGGAAAGACGTGGGGGATGTCAGTAGACGCAATGATGGAGCTCTACAGGGTCCTGTTTCTCGGTTTCCTCAGATATAGCTTGCCTGTGCTTAGCAATACCTGCAAGACCAATGTTCGTGTTTTACAGGCAGTACAAGCCCAAGCGCTGAGAGTGTGCCTCGGTCTGCCCAGATGTACGTCAACAGAAGCAACAATTGCGATTGCTGGTGACTATTCGATACAAACTCACATTGTTGTAGAAGTCCTGAGAACGCACATCCGACACTTCGCACGTGCCCCCGGCCATCACCTTGCACTGTTGCCTTCAGATAGGCGCCAAGCATCGTTCGCCAAAATTATCGTGAAATACAACGATAAACTTCCCTCGGGCTTCACTCATGCATCTAAACCATCCGTACCACCTTGGTGTCTCATTCGACCCACAGTGCATCTTAGTGTACCAGGGATCCGGAGGAAATCTGAGTTTTCGTCACCCGTGCTGAAACAACTGTCTCTTCTTCTTTTGCACGAGAAATATTCAGACAGCATACATGTATACACCGATGGTTCCACGAACCACCAGTGTTCGTCAGGGGCAGTAGTTATCCCAGCAAGAGGTGTTACCATCAGCTTTAGGACTGACCACTCCACGGCATCTACAGCAGCGGAACTAGCTGCTTTGCGTGCTGCACTTTGTGTGGTCAATCGGGAACCACCGCAACAATGGTCGATTTTCAGCGACTCAAGGGCTGCCCTACAATATGTGCTCTCAGCACTGCGTCGCGGCCCATACGAACAGCATGTTTTCGAAATTCGATGCCTTCTCCACACTTTACTCGAGAAAGGGCATCATGTGACGCTTCAATGGCTGCCAAGTCATTGCGGCATCATAGGAAACGAACATGCCGATACTGCCGCGCGGGCAGCCCTTGAAGGAACACGAAAAGAAGCCATACCACTTTCGAGGACTGATGCTGCCAGTAATCTTCGACGACTTGCGCGTGAAATCACGTTTTCACTATGGTGCCCACCAAGCATCGATACGAATCGTCAACACCACCTGTCCTATTTGATGGATCTCCGCATGCCCACTGGACTCGACCGAAGAGAAGCCACCCTACTTCACCACGTATGGCTAGAAGTGGCATTTACAAAATCTTACTCCTTTGTCATAGGAATGGCCGACAACGCTCTCTGCGATGCCTGTCATTGCGAAGAGACGCTACACCACATCCTGTGTGACTGTCCATTGTATGAAATCCAGAGACAGTCACTGGCGTCTGCTTTTGCGCGCATCGACAACAGCCAAATATCTGTGGACACTATTCTGTCAAGTGCCCGAGAGAAGACACTGCAACAGAAGGCGACGAAAGCTCTGTTGAAATTCCTACGCGACACCGACTTGAACAAGCGACTGTAACAGCAATGTCACACACCGCGAAAGACAAGACTGGACTATGACTGAGTGTGCGCGCATGTGCTGCCAAATGTGCTGTTTCTATCTTCCCTCTCTGCTCTCTTTCATCTCCCCCATCCCTCCCCCATGCGCAGGGTAGCAAACCGGCTGCCTATAGGCTGGTTAACCTCCTTGCCTTTCTTTTCCCTCTATTTTCCTTTCTCTATAGGACTTTCTTTGATTCACCTGTCGTTATTATTTGGATATCAGTTTTTTCTGGGAAGTTACTACTCCTTACGATATCATTCTTTTTTTTTAATTCATTGATATTTCGGTAGAACTACCTCAACTATCCTGTGCATATCTATTGTGACCTTGCCTCGAGTATTACGTTGGCATAACTCGTCGCGTCACTGGCACAGCGTTTTTTCAGAAATTGCAATTGGGATCTTTTCGTACTGTTTCTTACATTCGCTTACAACACGGGCTCCCAAGCCACCACAGGATTCTCACCATTACTTTCACTATACGGCCGTGAACCGTTTAGCACCATTGATACGATTCTACCATTGATACGATTGTAACAGGGGTGATTAGGGTATGCAGCGACTTCGACAATTGTTGGAGTAGCTGGCAGGGCACAGAAAGTTTGCTCTCTGGCTATAGCCAGAAATGTTTGTGGGAGCCAGCCGATGCCAATAAGCTCGTGTATAACCTGATTCTCTTCCTCACAAAACTGTCAATGGGATAGTATCCCAAGCCACCTACCCTCTAGGCACACCGAGTGGGGACACGGTCTTCCATCGGTACATCTCCCAGATGCAGGCCATCGTGTAGGGCATCTTGTTCTTGTCCTCCCACGTGGGCTGCCTCTCCCTGCCCACCACTTCGTCGATCTCTCGCTGCACTCTGGCTTGCACCGTGTCTGGATTGTTGGCGAAGTTGAGCATGTGCCAGTGGATGGTCACGGCGACCGTGTTTGAACCGGCAATGAAGAAGCTGAGCACGTTGCCCATCAGAAATCGATCTGCGGTAAGAGGCAAGGAAATCAGCGTATGAGCTTGTGTAAAAGGTGAGCGGTGTGCCACCTGACAAACTATCAATTCTATGGAAGTCTGTACACGAGGCTGGCTTGACTGGCAGGTCAAGAACATTTCGTTTCTTATATCAATCAATCAATCAATCAATCAATCAATTGGTGCTTTTTTAATTTTCTGATTACCACCTATGACCATTACCTCTGTTTAAGCCACCGCGGCATCGCTTTACCCTAAGTTCGTTCTCTCGTTTCTGATTGGTGTGGAAATGATCGAAGTGAGCCGAAGAACACGGGTCAAACGCTGTCTGTGTCCTTTTTTCTATCCCACTGTTTTGCACAAAAATATTCATCCCGGATACGATCCCTTTCAGTCATAGCGATACTTACGCTGGAAGTTTGGGTTCTCCTCCTGTTCATGTTCCTGAATTTTCTTCAGGTAGCCGTCTATGAAATCGCGATTGAAATGCTCATCCATTGTGGCTTTGTGGTCTGCGACTTGTCCTCTGAAATGAGATCGACATACATTTTTGTGACGCTCCGACACACGGGCGCGTGTGCCATCGAAATTGGATCTGTGGCGTTTTCGTTGATAGCAAACTCACGGAAAGTTAACTTAAAGAACGTGAGTTTGGACATGTTAATACTCTATATTAACACCTATAGTGATAAAAAGGGACAAGAGGCAGCAATACGAGAGGGACACAGCTCCTGCGTCCATGTCGCTATGTCTGTGTCCTAATGCGTCCGTCGTGTTCCTTTTGTACGTTTTTGGTGTTAATAAAGTTTAATGTAACCTTGGCAAAATTGTTTTACAAGTAAGGCGTGTGGTTTCGCCAAAATGAAGGTCTGCCAAGCATTTATTTATATATTATGTGGTATTGCTAATAGTGAAAAAAAAACTGAAATATTGTTAATATAGACGTCTTCTGTGCGTGAATGACATAGTGAATAGATGATTTTGGCTGTATATGAATAGTTAACGTTATTGCAATATAAGCACGCTGGTGCTCCCGTTAGTTAATGAGACAAGGCATCCTCGCCTCCTCACCCCCCCGACCACTGTTGAGAACTGTTAAGAACTGCTCAGTGTCGGGGACCCACTGATTTCTTACGCGTCGACCGTAGGGGCGGCGCTCACGTCGATTTGGGCTGAAAAAGCCGCGCTCCGCGCACAAGAGCTGCTATGCGCTTCGGCTCCCCGGCGGGCTTTTTCGGTGGGTTTTTTCAGAGAACAGATGGCGGCAGCTCGACATCAGGTGACCTGAGCACTGACGTCACGTATGACTGCAATAGTGAAGCGCAGTAGTGAAGCGCAATAGGGAAGCATGACTGCCAGTGACTTGGGTGCACGTTAAAGAACCCCAGGTGGTCGAAATTTCCGGAGCCCTCCACTACGGCGTCTCTCATAATCATACGGTGGTTTTGGGACGTTAAACCCTACAAATCAATCAATGACTGCCAGTGACTTACGGCATGCCAATCCGCTATTCTCTCCATTTTGCCAAAATCACCATGACCACAGCCAGGGTCGATAGATAGATAGATAGATAGATAGATAGATAGATAGATAGATAGATAGATAGATAGATAGATAGATAGATAGATAGATAGATTTTATGGTATCCCGGACAGACGTGCCATTGGCGCCAACGTGATTTCCAAAAAGCAACTGAGCAAACAGCTCTACGAATGAAGCAGTAGGTGGTGTTTCTGTTCCGGTCACATGACCCCTTTAACTTGTGAGCTGCAAACAGACGCTTCCATGTTTTAATTGGCCTATCGGTAGGTAAATACTACCGACGTAAAGATGGCTCAGTTAATTTGGGAAAATATAAAAAAATAAGTTGATAGGACATCAAACTGCTCATACTTAGTGTATTCGATGAATTCCAGGAGCTTGGACTTGATGACGGTGCGTCGCGTAGAAGGCAGCCAGGTAACAGCTTTGCGCACGAACGACGGCAAAAATTCGACCAGGGTGCCAGCTCGTATAGCCTTGAAGAGTTCGCTGAGCAGCTCGTCCAGGTAGCGGCGGCGCGGGTGCTCGAACGGGTACCGGCTACCGTACACGAGCGCAGGCAATGTTGTTCGAGGTGCTCGGGAAGATGTACTCCTGAATGGCGAGGGGACGTACCTTTGGCTTCGGCGATCTTCTCCACCATGCACTGACACTCTTCCTGCAGAACACGTTGGTGGTGAAAGAAAAGTTTGCGTTGTAGCACGCAACATGTCTATTCGGATACACCTGATTGTTTGATTGATTGATTGATTGATTAGTGCGGTTTAACGTCCCAAAACCACCACATGATTATGAGAGACGCCATAATGGAGGGCTCCGGAAATTTCGACCACCTCGGGTTCTTTAACGTGCACCCAAATCTGAGCACACGGGCCTACAACATTTCCGCCTCCATCGGAAATGCAGCCGTCCGCAGCCGGGATTTGATCCCGTGACCGGCGGGTCAGCAGCCGAGTATCTTAGCCAATAGACCACCGTGGCGGGGCTATCGGATACATCTGAAAGGGGGTGAGGATACATGCTCAGTGTCTAGCTATTATCACTCACACGCCTACTGCTGTTTGCGTGCTTATACTCCGTTTTATGCATGGGGTGCAACCGTGATTATGCTAGCAAGACTTCTTGTAGCAGATGCGTTCACACCAAGAAATAGCTCAGTGACTTGATTAACACGTGATACGATCTTTATTTCGTTATGAGGCAGAGTAATAAATGAAGATGCTGTGTGCGTCGGAAATAAACAAACCCCTTTATTTATACAATTGTGAAGACGCTGTTCTGAATCGCTTAGCGTTTGTCTGTTTTTTCTCATCGCGGCCTCCTGGATTAGCTCCGGCCGCACGCAGCCGAGGCCATTCGCGGAAGTCACGTTCACAGTTTGGTGTTTCATTTGACATCTATCCAGGAGCGGCGCCAGTGAGGGGTGTATAAAGCGGCTGCAGTCCATCCCCTCCCCCCTGTATATGTCCATCCACCCCTCCCCCTTTGCTCCTCAAGATCAAGCATAGCCAAACACGACACATATGTTGCAAGCATTCCTGGCGCCCTGGAGGAACTCGCTTGTCGTCGGTGCCCCACTTCCACCGCCTCACGCACAGCCTCGTGCTCGGCTGTACAAGGACTGAAAGCTGGGCCAGTTGGTGACAGTATATGAATATATTTTACCTCGACGCACGACTACGCGAACACAAAAGAAGAAGGAACAAACCGCAGCGCACTCTATGCTCGGCTCTCACGAGCGTTCACAAAAACGCAAACCAAACTCGAGACGCGTGGACTTACACATTTTGAAGACCGGGCTTCTTGCATAGCTTCCTCAGCGTCGCACATGGGTCTAACGGAATGAGGGCATGACGCGATAGTGGGAGCGTTCACAAGGGCGGACAAACGACATGCACTTAGGGTAATAATGCCCAAACTGCCATCCAAATGGGAATCTAAGTATAGTGGTGGTCAGCCATGAGCCATATTGTACCGGTGGTATTAGACTAAAGTAATTTTTGCCGCTTAGGCCAGGCACATGTTCCTCACTGCAGGGAGGCACCCGCACTACAAAAGCTTGCCAGCCACGCAGTTTTTTTCCTGATCGTCCACTAAAAGCGAGCTACCCACTCTTATGGAAGGTATCGTCAGACTCTGCTAGGTCATTCTCAGCAAGTACTCAAGCGATATTTTGTCACATAGTCTACCCTGTCTTGTAGTATTCGTCTCGGGCAATACGGCACGGATGATCAACCACATTAAAACAATTTTGGGCTAGTTGGTTAGCGAGGGAGAAACAGCGCAAGCCCACCCCCATAAGAGAGACAACACAGACACAGGCGCCGTGTGTCTGTGTCTCCTCTCTTGTGGGTGTGTTCGGGCTGTTACTCTCTCGATAATCAACTAGTCTCCCGTGAGCTGCCTATGGCATAGATATTTTCACAAAATGCTTAGAGACATATTTGGCGCCATCGTCTATGTGACTTTCTTAAGCGGCGCCGTTGGAGCGCTAGGCAATGACGGCATATGTGTCTGCGAAGCTTGTGTTGGCTCGTGTTGAGCGAGGCTTCGGCTCGAAAGTGTATACGACGGCCTAAATGAAGCTTTCCTAAAACAATACTTCTATAATCGTATCTGATTAATGCACATTATACTCTAAAAGAAAAGTGCAGTCACCTCTACATCTCAACCAAATGGTGAAAGAAAGAAGTAGACGACTAGCAGAGGCAGTGTGAACGCTGTCTTTATCCTCTGCCTGCCGAGTTTAGCGGCCGTATGTTACTTTTTACGCTTCTTAAAATTGTACATCAACACAGAAGTTCAATAAAACTCCTTTTTTAAGTATACCATGATACAACATGCTGTCCCCAATACAATAAAAGCTAATATTGTCTCTCACCTGATACCGAAAAAACATGACCCCTATTATCAACGCGGACCACAGAAGACACCGAGCAAAAGCACTGCTCGAAGCACAAGGCACGAACAGTAAGTCTCTTTTCGTCGATGCCAGCCCATACACTGAACGAAACACTACACTGCTGTCGTGATCGACGCGTCGGGTATGTGTATTATTGCGTGCTCTGTCATAACAAACAATATAGATGACACTGAGGAGGTAGCCATAACCACTGGCTATCACCTACAAAAATACACACTCACACTGAGCGATTCGCGAGTAGCCATCACAAATTTTACGCGAGGACGGATTTCACAAGTCCCAGAATCTAGTTAATGGCCAAGAACTACACAAAGTAGATGAACCCAAATACCTGGTGTTGCTGGGTAAACTGGTGTGCGCACAAAAAAAACAGACAAACGACAGCAGAGAAGAGACAGGGACAAGCGCAACAAGTTTTATTGTACCTGGTGTTGTTTTCGGCGCACACAGAGACTTATACACACAATACGAACGAGCTGGTTTACAAGTTGTTGCGAGAATTGACCCGCCGTGCAACCCGACCACACCGCCCGATTATCATGTCTGGCGCCGCCGACGTACCACACAAATACCGATTTACAAGCTACACAGAATACACGCAACACTGCTGAGAAACAAGGCGCGTCTTTCCTGCATGTCACCCGAGTGTCGACAGGCAACGAGCATCTGAATACCGACAGCTACAGACAAACTCCTACCGAAACTCTGTGCATCTCCACAGGAGCTACCCACACTTATACCAGGACAATAAATGCATGCTACGTGTAAGAGGAAGGGCATCTTTTAAACATATAATATGGGAATGCCCCAACTTATCAGCATGTTCTCCCGAGGGCCTCCGTGAGCGGTGCCACCTAGTGTTGCTCAGCTCGAATGTCACCAAAAATGAGGCTATCCAGCTGGCCAGGGAGGCTGTGCTGAGACAAGTCTCCTGGTACCTCCCTGTGTGGTCTAGCCCGGACCACAAGCATGCCGGATCAAAAAATAAAGTTTATTCAATCACTCACTCTGAGCAATAATAAGAAATAAATAGCTGCAGCTACGTGCTCTTTCAGCAAGAAATCGACGATTTTTGACGCAAGGAACGGGTTGAAGCCAGACGTGTCTTCGAGGCGCCCGGTCACATGAACGACACAAATCCGAGTCAAGCTCAAAGATTACGTATCCCGGCATTCCCATGCATCCAACAGCTCGCAACACCACTCTTCCCTCTAGGTAGGAGTAGGCCTACGTCAACCACGTGTCGACTTGCCTCTTCTTAACATGACGAATTCACATCGGTCGCGGAAGTTGGAACAAGAAGTGACCAAAAAACTTGTCTCAGACATCGTCGTGCGACATGCGATTGAAGCATGACTTTGTGAGGTGAAGGAAAATAATGAATACAAAAAACATCTCAGTGGAAAATTGCTTTCAACATATTAGATTAGAGATTAGGCAAACAAAATATGTTACTACATTACTTTACAGTGATTGATATGTAGTGTTTAACGTCCGAAAATAACCATATGATTATGAGAGACGCCGTAGTGGAGGGCTCCGCAAATTTCGACCACCTGGGGTTCTTTAGCGTGCACCCAAATCTGAGCACACGGGCCTAACATTTCCGCCTCCTCCGGAAATGCAGCCGCCGCAGCCGGGATTCGATCCCGCGACCTGCGGGTCAGCAGCCGAGTACCTTAGCAACTAGACCACCGCGGCGGGGCATACTTTACGGTGATCCTGGTATTTTGCAAAATGGACGACTGTCACATTTTTCGGTCAACCGCCAGAATTGATATCGTATGCGTGCACAACCCTTTTATGTGGGCCATGGCTTACTCTCGTGCCCCGGTCTCGCGCGTATTCTGTGTAGACCATTCCTTTACATATGTGTTGTTTACCTGGCGTGACATTTCGCTGAGAATAACCAAGCTCACGCAGGCCCATAGCCAGGAATTTTTTCGCCCGGGGGGGGGGGGGGTCATATATTGAAGGTCATTTGCCCTGAGTAAAACATCCCCCTCTATTCGAATTTTAGGGGGAGAGAGAGAGAGCACTTCCCCCAAGCTACGGACCTGAGATCACGGCAGCTTCAAAGACTTTTTTTCTGTGACTACAAGCTACTTTAGCTGGCGCACGGTGACATGCTGTCGGCCTTCGTGACGATGAATTTGCGTAGCGCGCCGCTACGCAAACTTACGCTGCGCTGAGTACGACAGCAAAGGCGATCCTTGTACGAGTGTTATCTGGTTTCATGGCTTTCGCCTATATAAGTTCGGCAAGAAGAATTTTTGAACTATTGTACCAAACTATTGGCTCACGAGCCGTTGTAGTATATTCGCTATCTCCACGACATTTTGTGTTATAGCCCGAGTACGACCGGTAATTAACTATGGCTTGCTTTCCAGATATTCTTCGTCGTGCTGTTCTTTCGTATAGAACCCTTAGGGATCTGCAAATAATAAAAACAATTGTTTAGCTATCAAAAACGAGCTGGAAAACGGCTACATGAAAAAAAAAATGATTTCCTCATAGCGCGCCGTGTAGGGTACTAGTTACACGTCGCTTCAGCTTCCGTTTGTGCCGCGGGTTTCTTTTCTTTTCTTTTTTTTTAATGCGTAGATGATGGCAGTGGCAACGAGACCAACAAGACACAATTTTATTGAGATGTGTGCTTCTACTGGAGCTTCACTACCAGTTCACACATGCGTCGGCTCTTAGTTTTATTCGTTTGGAAACATAAAAATTTATGGGCGATAGGCTGCATTAAAGGAGGTGGTGGACACAGCGTTACTTTTGCTGTGTCAGGCTTAATTGTAAGCGAGCTTAAATTATAAGCGACTTTTTTTCAAGTGTCGCAACCATCACTTACTGCAAACTTTTTCACGAAACATTACCTAACATTGTCTAAGCAGGAAAATCTGTTACCTGTACTTTTTGCTCCTGTTCAATTTCTTTTCTGGAAATAACTACTATTTTTGTATTATCTGAAAAAACGTTGATGTTAGCGGAGTCCACGGCACTGTATTGTTTGTAGTTTTCATGTGTTTACCCACTCCCTTCTTCAATGTGTTTTGACCCTGAGGGTATTATAAATAAATAAAGGAGCCCACTCGCGCACAGTGATGCTGTTTTAACCTCATGTCATAGAACATGCGCTGCAATAATCAAGTACTATCTTACCCACATAAAATTTGTGAAAAATTTGTCAAACAGTTTTATTCGCATTGAGCCTAACACACGCGGCAAATTTTCGCAACGTCACTGCGACGTCATCAAATCCCATTATCAGAACCCGTGACTTTCTGCTTCGTTCAGGCCGACACTACCCTCAGTTTTTTTTATTTATTAATGTGCGATTGATTGATATGTGGGGTTTAACGTCCATAACCGATGGATTTGGGGCGTTAAACCCCACATATCAATCATGATTATGAGCGACGCCGTAGAGATGACTCTGAAAATTTCGATCACTTGGGGTTTTTAACGTGCACCCAAATCCGAGCACACTGGCCTACAGCATTTTCGCCTGCATCGAAAATGCAGCTGCCGCAACCTGGATTCCACCCCGCGAGGTGCGGGTCAGCAGCCGAGTACCTTAGCCACTAGACCACCGCGCCGGGGTGATGTGTGCACGACTCACTTGTCCTGATCGATTAGGCATTCAAGGCGTTCGACTTTATTAATGTCACTACAAACTTTTGTTGCGTTTTGTTGCAAAAGTTAATACGCTACTTTCCATTGAAAAATCATTGTATAGAAACGATAAGTGTGGTACAACTTATAGTTTTTGCTTTTAGAATTATTGCGAAAGTATGCAACAAAATGTTCCCCACAATCAATTATACGATACCGGAAGCGCATGCTTTTGTCTCATTAGGCCTGATTTAGTCCATCATTGACCAACGCGACAATTCATACGGCTGCACTGATACGACAAATACTTCATGGTCAACATAGACTGTTGCCGCGACATTTGAGATAATAATGGATACTTCAGATACATTGCTACACAAATCACTGAAGTGAAGAGAGATGCTGCTTACCTTAACGTGTTCCTCCATTGATGTTTTGCCGAATCCTAAATCCCTCAAGACGTGCAGGCAGAACCTCCTGTTGTCCACCCATGTGTCGCCGTTAAGCGTCGCCACACCTGGCCAAATAGTTCAGCACACTCACCACAAAATCTGTGCTGTACTTTTCGAGTTTATTGCTGGTTTTAAGGTCCACACAAATGGTGCACGAGCTAATCACTGACGTCATAAGAGCGTTGCAGCTATCGCAAGCGCAAGTTAACCTGTCACAGCGTTTTTTGCCATGAGATCAAGGATATTCGTCACGTCTTTGGCATACCGGACGACATATTTTAGGGGCTAAGCTCTTTATGATGTGGCTTGTGCGTCCCCCATTGTCGATGTGCGTAACCACCGGTGCCGCATACCCGAGAGAGCAGGTATGTGTCACAGGGGGAGGAGAGAGACGATTGCGTGATTACGATCGCGATGAAAAGATGCGACATGGCAGTACTTGAAATGTGCACTAGATCAACGGACGGACGGACGCACGAATGGACAGACAGACAAGCAGACGGACGGATGGACAGACGCGCGGATGGATGAAGAGATGCACAGCTGAACGAACGGATGCACAGCTGGACGAACGAATGGCTGAACGCACGAATGGACGCATGGACGGACGGAAGCACGAACGAACGGACGGATTGAAGCACGGACGTACTGATGGACGCTCCGTCCCACTCATCACCATTCACTACGTGGATATGCCGTGATTTTTTGTAAAGTATTTTTCACTAGGAATCAAATTTTGGTCTCCATAGAAAACAGTATACATAAATATAACTGACAGGGTTCCTGTGTATTTCCTGTGTGTTTGATGGCCGAAAGTCAAAATCCCATGTTCTTTTTTCTGCTTTTCCAGTCGACTGTAATGATCCTCCCCTTGCTTTCTGGAGCCTTCTGTACCTCACTTGGTGTTGTAGTGCCTCTGTGGTCGTCTCAACTTTGACCGAGCCGAGGTGTCATATTATTGAGTCGTGGTATGCCATGATGACTTCACAAATTTCAGTGATCTATGACCTCATGATGACGTTCATTATAGTATGACTCCTATATTTGTTCTGAGAATCTCGTATGGCCATATCGTTTTTTTAGGTACCATTATTTTTTCTCTACACCCCTTATTTTATAAATAGGCAGCCGAATACATGTGGAATACATTCGTGATGTTTGTGCATGTAAACAGAGGCCTTCTTAGATTTAGGTATGCGTGCACCTAAACACAATGAATAGCAAGTACAATGTCGCTCTTAACTTATGTCTCGATACAGTGCCTCCATTATTTGTCCGGGACTGTTTCGATTTTACAGGATGCCAGCGTTCACAAATAAAAGAAATGGTCTTCCATGGTGCGTTTTATAGGCGCATATGACTGACGGCGTCCAGTTGGCACTATTCTAGTGCTGCGGAGTTTCTTTCTCGAGTAACTCTTGAAATGGTTGAGAGGAAAGGACCTCACTTTCAACCAAGAAGACGAGGTGGCGCGCGCTTACCTCCGTACACTTCACCCCTGAACAGCCAGTTCTGTGGTCGGTACAGAACCTCCTTCTTTGTGAGAAACTTCTTTATTGACGGGAAGTCATTCAGTATGACCATGTCAGCTGAACCGGTCTTTATCCTGTGAAGAAAAGGAAGAAAAACAGCGTGTAATTGAGGTCACCGGACCAGCTAAACAATATATATATATATATATATATATATATATATATTATATATATATATATATATATATATATATATATATATATATATATATATATATATATATATATATATATATATATATATATATATATATATATATATATAAGAGCCTTTATTTCTTATAAGTCTTTCAGCTTCGGTGTTGGGCTTTTTTTTTTCTTGTCTCTGCTGCCTTGCGAGTTTCAATTGACTGATTTAGTGCCTTCACCCTGCGTGGTTTCCTGTTTATATATATATATATATATATATATATATATATATATATATATATATATATATATATATATATATATATATATATATATATAAATATATATATATATATTTTTATATATATATATATATATAGCTGGGCACTATAGCTGGGCACTATATATATATATATATATATATATATATATATATATAGTGCCCAGCTATCTGCTATCTTTAAGCACAGTTTAAAAGTATGCTGACACACCTAATTACCATGCGACCAAACGCATGTTGCTGACCGTTGCCTGGAGTCAGACTATTTTTTGTGTTATTGTTTAATTAGATCTGTTTACTTAACTTCTAAAGGAATGAAGACGGATAAAGAAAATTATGAAAAAGTTGTAGATCGGTTTGCAAGATGTCCGATTGGCCAGTTTTGAACTTTATATTTGTTAATTATAACTTTTTTTCTGCTTACTACAAATGCCCGCAAAATAAAAAAAATTACCACGTGACAAACCTACTAGCGCGCCTAGGCGCGCCGTGATTCTGGTTCTCCCTAATGTTTCGCGGTATATTATGAGGCCGAGAGTGTCCATATAATGTAAAAATAAGATATCTACTTCTATAGGGTGTGCGAGCACTGGGAATTCACTTCCCTAAGAACGAAAACCAAATTAATATGTTTGGGCCCTGAGACTATACAACAAGTTCAATAGAAGATGCAGCGGTCACGTGTTTTTATGCGTTGGAATTTTGCACTAAGTCTACGATGTTGATTGATATGTGGGGTTTAACTTGCCAAAACCACCGTACGATTATGAGAGACGCCGTAGTGGAGGGCTCCGGAAATTTCGACCACCTGGGGTTCTTGAACGTGCACCCAAATCTGAGCACACGGGCAGTCTACGATGTTTGTCAGTATGTCTGATCGGCCGCGGTGTTATAGCGGTTGTGGCGTTGGGTGGCTGGCACGACGTTAGCGAGGTCGAATCCCGGTGGCACCGGTAGCATTTCGGTGCCGGTGAAATGCTATGAAGCCTGTGCGCTTATGTTTAAGTGCCCGTTATAAAACAACAGATGTTAAAAATATCTGGAGCATTCCACAATGGTGTAGTTCATACTCATATCGTGGTTTTGGAGCGTAAAACTGCATCAATTATTATTATAAATGTGGTTGCTATGGTATGCGAAAAAACTCGCCTTGAGCCACCACTCATAATAAAAGAATTGGGAAAATAACCTTTTCCATCAGAGTCTGTGCGCAGACCGTTAAGCTACGCTACATAGATCAGTGATTGTAACTTGTTGCCAACCTTAGTTTGCTGGATGGTTATAGTGGTGGGATTGGCACCCCGCACTTCAACATAATTTCGGCGCCTTGAGGTATGCCTAGGCTGTTTCCTTCATATATACCACACCAACCTGTCTTGACTGCGGATAATATTGAACCGTCTTACTATCGCGAAAGCCACTTATATATGGTGTCTTCGACAAGTTGTACTGGTAGTCAGGGGTCCGATTATAATTCCATCCACTAGCGCGGTGCAGTGCCCACGCGTGCAATAATTTTCTCGGATGACGTAGACATTATCATTACCTTCGTGAATGTTAGTCGAACGGTTGTACATCACACGACATTACGCAACCAAGTTTGTTCACTCCTAAAAGCACGCTGACGAATAATCGCGTGCCTGCGTACGCACGAGAAACTTGTCTCGGTGATCAGCGTTCTGAAGCTCAACCGCTAACGAGCAACAATGAGCTCTATGTGTGTGCACGACAGATGACGATGACTGGAAGATAAATAGTCTCTTCAAGACAGGACGTGAACGCACCTGTACACCGGTCCATATTTCTTGGCCCATTTCATCGCCTGGTTGCAATGAAAGTCCTTGTGCGTGAACTGGACGTGACCCACGAGAGGTCGACCTGGTGGACCTGGAGGTAGGCGTGTTCCAGGCGGCAGGCTCCTGCTGCTCAGCCAACTCCGCGTGAATAGGTAGAGCAGTGATGCCACCAGCGCACTGCTGGCAATGGTAAACCAGTCCATGATTCTCGTGCCTTGAGTCGCAGCTGTGTATGGAGACCAGAATACTGCGTTTTTACTATCACGCCCACTTTAGAGCAAGTATACACAATCTTTACCTAATTATCTGTTCTCGTGGCCAGCTTACGGGCTGCGCATTTGATTGTGTCACGACCGATCTGAGCTAATACTAGTTTGAATAAGCACCAGCACCAGCCAGCGTGCGACAAGGAAACACCAGATGCTATCGCGCTCGTCTGTTCCACCCGATGCTCAGCCGTCCACCACAGATGTCTGCCACCTGCTAGGGACGCCACTTGTGGTCTCTATCATTTTAAGCGTTGAACCACAGCATCTGTCTCTAATAGAAAGCAAGAAAGAAAAAACGGGAGATGGTAAGCATGGCAGAGAGGAAAGAAAATATGTGCTTTCGTTATGCTGCACCGAACACGGAAGTGAAGTAAAGTTTACAGGCAAGGATTTATTCTCCATTGATTGAGCACAAGGTTATGTTGAGATAGGCTTATCAACAACACAAATACTGCAGTACATTAACAAATGAGACGCGGAAAAACAGTTTTGTCTAAGCCACATTTCCAGTTCAGGATGGTGGCAATACGCACACATCGAAAGAAACCCACGCGTTGAACAATGAAAAATGCTCCTATACGCTAGCGTATTCAAGTACTATTTATTCACCATGACATGCTCAAAACGGGAATTTCTGTTTATTGGGTGCGCCCGGCCAGGAATAACTTGACATCTGAAACCTTATTGAGTTCAGGGCCGTAGAGCATATGTTCTGGGTATGTGGCAAATAGAATTGTCTTCCAAATAAGCCCGACTACGCGTAGCCTTGTTCTTTTTTTCACAGCATCGAACTCAAAGAATGGTAATGAAGTGAGTGTATATATGGAAGGTTTATCCTTACGCCTGACGAATAGCTATGAAGTGTGTGCTGTACTTGTTATAAGATGATATATTTAGGCGGAGATGTGCTTCGTAGTAGACTAAAGGAGTGAGTGAGTGAGAAAGGAAAGGCCGGGAGGTTAACCAGATATTGGCATCTGGTTTGCTACCCAGCGCTGGGGGTGGGGAAGTAGGGGCAAGAAAGAGGGGTTAGAGAGAGGGAAAAAAAACACACGCGCACTCATAAAAAAAAAAAACGAAAACACACACTGGAAGGGCGTCCCAGCTACAACCGTTCAGCAAGGCCGGTCAATCGCAAAAAGTTCAGCAGCGCTTTCAGGGCCCTCTTCTGTGAAGTCGCATCCTGACGATACTGCAGAATTTCCTGCTCCGACAGAGGCTGATCATCTAATTTGTTGAGTTCCCTGCGAAGGCATAGTCGCCACCTACTATACGCTAGGCACTCACAAAGAACATGTTGAATGGTTTCCTCCTTGCCACAGTGGCCACAGGCTGCGGTGTCGGCCATCCCAATGCGGAAAGCGTAGGCGTTGGTAAATGCAACGCCCAACCACAGCCTACATAACAGGGTCTGGTCTGCCCGGCGAAGCCTCGACGGGACTTGGAAGACTTAGCGTAGGGTCAAGCGAGTACAGTCGGGCATGCTTGAAGTGCGGCTGATTCCATTGCGATGTGGTTTGCCGGCGAGCAAGTCTGCGGAGCTCTCGTGCAGCATCCGTCCTAGAAAGTGGTAGTCGCAGTTTATGATTTTCTGTGTGGGCTGAGCGGGCAGCTTGATCGGCCCGTTCATTGCCGATGATTCCGCAGTGACTGGGCAACCACTGAAGTGTAATTTGGTGCCCTTTCTCAGTCAGGTGGTGTATAATCTCTGCTATCTCTAGTACCAGCTGCTCGTGTGGTCCACGGCGTAAGGCTGATAGTAGAGACTGCAGTGCCGCCTTCGAGTCGCAGAAAATAGTCCACTTGCGCGTAGGCTGATCAACTACAAATTGCAACGCGGCACGAAGTGCTGCCAATTCTGCTGCCGTTGATGTTGTTGCGTGAGATGTCTTGAATTTAATTGTCGTGGCCAACCTTGGTATCACTACTGCTCCTGTAGAGCTGTCCGGCTGAACCGATCCGTCAGTGTAGATATGTGTGGAGTCTTGATATTTCTCATACAAGAGAAGCAGTGTGAGCTGTTTAAGAGCCGGTGACGACAAATTGGCCTTTTTCTCGACGCCAGGTATGTTAATAGTAATTATTGGTTGAGCGAGGCACCATAGCGGAGTCACAGGTCTAGCGGCAGGAGAGAACGAAGTTGGGATCGACTCACCATGTGCGGTCACTGTTTTGCAGTAAGATGTGCATGGTCGGACCACTGGTAGAGAGGCTAGGTGATGTCGAGGGGTTCGAGCAAGGTGTCGTATATGTGTCCTCAGCACTTCCACATTAATGTGGGTCTTGATGAGGTTGTCCCTTGTGATGGCGATAGTCGCCGCTGTTGATGCACTTTGGGGCAAGCCTAAACATATCCGGAGTGCTTGAGCCTGGACACTTTGAAACATTCGTATGCTTGTTTTACTTGCGTTGGTTAACACAGGTAGGCTGTACCCAAGGAATCCAAGGAAAAGAAACCTGTATAGTCGCAACATAGCAGTTGTGGACATTCCCCAGTTTTTTCCAGCGAAGAACTTGAACAAATGACAGATGCCTGTCAATCGCCTTTTCATGTATGATACATGTGAGCTCCATGAGAGGTCTCTGTCAATTATAACACCTAGGAACCTGTATGATCTCAGGTGACGTATTCTTTCGTTGTTTATCAGAACGCTGTAGTTATGCATTGGTTTGCGCGTAAATGCCACTAGTGCACATTTCTCAGAGGAAATTTCCAGACCTCGTTGACGGAGGTAAATAGCAACTTGAGTGGCAGCTCTCTGAATTCGCGCTCGCAGCTGTAGACGTGTTACTGCAGACGTCCAAACGCAGATGTCGTCCGCGTACATTGACAATCTGACAGTACTTGGCAGATGCTCATTTAGAGCTATTAGCGTCAGGTTGAATAGTACAGGGCTAAGTATACCACCCTGGGGAACACCACGGTGGCTGTAGTGTAGCGAAGTGTCACCATCCTCGGTTCTCACGAAAAAGGATCGCTCAGAGAAATAGCTGCGTATCCACTGAAACATCCGACCACCCACTCCTACCTCCTTGAGAGCGGTGAGGACAGCTTCATGTGTGACGTTATCGTACGCCCCTTTAACATCAAGAAATAAAGAAGCGCAGAGACGCTTACGGCCTTTTTTGTGCTGCACGTAGGTGACCAGGTCTATGACGCTATCAATTGATGACCGGCCACGGCGAAATCCCGTCATAGCGTCCGGGTAGATGTTGTGATGCTCCAGGAACCATTCTAGCCGTCCAAGTACCATCCTCTCCATCACTTTGCCCAAGCAACTAGCCAGTGCAATCGGGCGGTATGATGTGAGCACCAATGGTGACTTGCCAGGCTTCAGTAATGGAACCAAACGGCTGGTCTTCCAGTTAACTGGGAGGGTGCCCTCTCGCCACGAGTCGTTGTATATCTCGAGGAGGGCACTCCTCGCACACTCACCAAGGTGACACAGTGCTCTGTATGATATTCCATCAGGCCCGGGTGCTGATGTCCGTCTGCACAAAGCCAGTGCTGCTTGAAGCTCATGAATAGAAAAAAATTGGTCCATGGGGTGATCGTGTGATGTCGTGCCACCGCGTGAGAGCGTGGAGATGTTGGGATCTGCGAGTTGACCAGATAAGTTGGCACAGAACTCTTCTGCCACGTCGACCTCCGATCTCTGTTGAGAGAGGGCTAGAGCCTTGAATGGAGACCGCTGAATGGGAGATGTCCGGAGCCCTCTTATTGTCCTCCACAAGTGTGATAAAGGCTTGCGAGGATCTAACGAAGCGCAGAAGGCTGCCCAAGGTTGTGACTCTAGCTTGTCTATGCGGCGTTGTATCTTCTTCTGAAGACGTCTAGCGATTCGTAAATCGTCGATTGCTTTCGTGCGTCGGTACCTTCGTTCCGCACGCCGTCGGAGAGCCCGAAGTCGTTCTAATTCCACATCAAATTCGGTTACTCTTTAAGAGCATGTGAGGGTGCACACTGTGTCTTGCACTGTGGACTTGATCACTTCTTCTAAGTCAAATGAGGTGTTCTCTTGACAGCGTTCTTCCATGAGAGATTCAAACTTGGTCCAGTCTACTCTTTGGATAGTTTCGCGTACCTTGCAAGGTGATAATCCTCTGATCTTGACATATGTGGGAATGTGGTCGCTCCCATATGTTTCTATGTCCGCAAACCATCCGGCACATCTGACAAGACCTCGAGAAACAAAAGTCAAGTCAAGACAACTGCTGTATCCAGGGCCACGTAAAAATGTTGGGCTGCCATCATTTAACAAGCACAGCTCGTTGTCTGAAGCAAACGTTATCAGTCTTCTACCCTTTGCGCTGATCTTCGGGCTCCCCCATAGCGTATGGTGGGCGTTGAAGTCTCCGATGATCACCCATGGGTCAGGAGTGGATGATAGGATGTGTCCTAGTCTTCTGTGGTCAAATCTACTTGATGGCGACAGGTATGCACCGACAACAGTGACAGTAAGACCCCTTTTCTTCACTGTTAAGCAAATATATTGGTTATCGTTGTCAGGTGGTACAGGCCGAATAATGTAGGTCAGGTCACGTCGAATAAACAGCAGGACCTTGCTGTTTCCACTATAACAAGCCGACATAAAGGATTCGTATCCGGAGAGTCTAATAGCGCTCGATAAATTTGGCTCGCAGATGACGATGATGGGAAACATATTAGTGAAAACGAACCGACGGAAATCTGCAATGCGTGATTTCAGTCCCCGTGCTTTCCACTGAAAAATTGTTGCTTTTTTGACCTCTTCCCTGACAGGGCTAAGTATACCACCCTGGGGAACACCACGGTGGCTGTAGTGTAGCGAAGTGTCACCATCCTCGGTTCTCACGAAAAAGGATCGCTCAGAGAGATAGCTGCGTATCCACTGAAACATCCGACCACCCACTCCTACCTCCTTGAGAGCGGTGAGGACAGCTTCATGTGTGACGTTATGAGGACAGCTTCAT